AATCATGATACGCAACAATCCGGATCGGAACATCACGTGACTGCCCCCTCGATTGTTGGTTATGCTGGTGCTTTTCTAATTTTTGTAGATCATTTGGTTACATTACAAAATCCGATTGGCTAATAGAAAATGGGTCCGAAGTTAAAAAAAATTTAAAAACTTTTTGACAGAAGATATATTTAAACCATAAATTGAATTTACAATGACAATTTTTACAATTTTTAACATATTGACCCTCATAGTACGACTTTCATATGATTGATTGTTTAAATCAATTTAATCTTACATTATTTATACAGTTTAAACAACAAGGAATAAATGTTAAAAAAATACATAGGAGGTATTATTGGCGTTGTAGGACTCCATTATTGAAAATGATCAAAATCTCTTTTTGTTTTAGAGAAGTTAGCATAGTAATAATCCAGTTCGATCTATTTTTAAGAAGTTGTTATAATGCTAACTTCGCTAAAACAAAGTGGGATTTTGATCGTTTTTATTAGTAGAATCCTACAACCCTAATTAAACTTTCTATATACTTTTTTTTTCATTCATTCTTTGTAGTTTCATTTTTTTTTTTAAAAAAAATACTTTAAACTGTATAAATAATGTAAAACTAAATTGATTTAAACAACCAATCATATAAAAGTCGTTTTATGACATTGACCCTCGTAGTTATTGTCAATGCGTGTCTAGTTAAGCTTAAATAAATTTCTTAAGTATATATATAAACTTTATTAACCAAATCATTTACTAACTAGTACATAATAGTTTAATAACAAGATAAAAAATGAATAATATAGAATTAAAAAAACTCTTCAACTATCACTAAGAGTAATACACGCACATAGATAGTATAAACCGTGTAAAAACCAAACACCAACTTGTACAAAGTTTTTTCACAAACAGCGCAGGCACACCTAATACTTTACTACTACAAGAATTAATTCCAGAGGATATCCAGACCATCGCTTCAATCCACAACAATACATTTATCAAAATCTTACACAAGATATCCACCAACATATACAAACAAATATTGCTCGAACGCTGTAAAGGCATACATCAGAGTAGACCCCTCACAGACACATACACCACTATACACCACATTAGTACAACTAAATATAGCAAATTGAAAAGGCTTTTCCCCACAATTAACATATCTACATCATATATAGCTAAACTAAGTCTAGTGTAGGCCAGGTAGCCCACTCTAGTAGAGCTTTGGGCCGAGGATAAATTAGTCCTAGCTGTAGATCCCTGTAATAACGCATTTAACCCATGTAAAAATTAATAAAAAATTATTCAAAAAATATTGAGGCCAGGCCGCACTCTTAAAAAAAAAAAAAAAAAAAAAAAAAAAAAAGAGTAGATATTATGAATCTCAGAGATTTAAATAAATCATTAAAAATTGAACAAAACCAAACTATAGGATTAGCTATTCGTGGGGCTACTTATCAAAAAATGGAAAGATATGAAGAATCACTGGTAGATTTAAATAGATCATTAGAAATCGATCCGAATAATACCATAGCATTGAATAATCGTGGATTAACTTATCAATATATGGGTAAATATGAAGAATCACTCGATGATTTAAACAAATCATTTGAAATTAATCCATAAATTGGAATAATCGTGGCTTAACTTATTTAAAGATGGGCAAATACAAGAAACGCTCTCAGATTTTAATCTTGCATTAGACATTAACCCACAAAATACTTTAACATTGACTAATCGTGGAAATCTTTATCGACAAATGGGGAGAATTGAAGATGCAATTATTGATTTCAATGATTCTTTAAATATTAAACCAGATGATGACAAGGTATTAAATGATCATGAAGCATTTCCAAACCGGTTTGGAACTTGTGAAAAGTACAAACAGTATAATTCAGGAATTTTCTTTTGCCACTCATGTGATCCTCAAATAAGTCAAAAGTAGACTAGCGGCAATAGTGATATAGATAAATTTATAAAAGATGCGCAACGAAATTCGGAATATTACCATAAAATAATCGAATGGATACCTTTTAATAGATTAACAGACGTTCAAGAAATTGGTAAGGGCGGATTTGGCACAGTTTATTCTGCAATTTGGATAGATGGAAAGCGAAATTATAAGGCTGTAGATGATAAAAATTTAATACCATCACGTGAACAATATTGTAAGGTTGCTCTTAAAAGTTTAAAAGGAAATCAAAATATTTCATTAGATTTTCTGAAAGAGGTAAAAATATATACATATTATTTTAATTAATTGAAAATATACGCCATGACTATAAATAATAACAAAATTATTTTCTTAAAGTTTAAAGCTTACTTTGAATGCCAGCTTCAAAGATATAGTGTTGATAAATATAGTATTGAAACATATGGAATAACTTATAATCCAGACAAAAATGAATATATGATGGTTCTCGAATATGCAGACAAAGGAGATCTTCGGTATTATCTATCAACAAACTTTAAAACACTTTTATGGAAAAATAAAATAAACATTCTTTATTCGATATCTGATAATTTAAATCATATTCATCAAAAATATATACATCAAGATTTTCACAGTGGAAATATACTTATGTTTAGTGTTGAAGATTTTAAAAATACAGCGATACAATATTTCCAAGTAAATGGCAAAGTTTTAATGATTTCACAAAATTTTGGAGATAAATTAAATATAGAACCAAAAATTTCAGATTTAGGCCTATCTAGACAAATAAATGAATCATCCATAAATAGGGGAATATATGGCGTGGAACCTTATATAGCGCCTGAGGTATTATCGGGAAAACAACATACAAGAGCATCGGATATATATAGTTTGGGCGTAATTATGACGGAAATTTCAACGGGAAAACCGCCCTTTAATAACTTTCTTAGTGCAATAAATGGAGTAAGACCAGAATTTGCACTTGGAACACCGGATTGCTATGTTCAGCTTGCAAATCAGTGTATGGATGGTAATCCATTAAAGCGGCCAACTGCTAAAGAGGTTTACAAGAAAGTTCAAGAATGGAAAATAATTTTGAACAAAGAAACAGAAGAATTGGATCAAGGTCAAATTGAAATAAAAAATAAATTTTTAAATGCAGATTTGAAGTAATATTAAATGGATTTTATTTTTTATCGCCATAGCGATGTATCGCTACCCTCCTGAAACTTATTT